AAAAATAAAACACTTTTTAACAAAGAAACAACAAATTTATAAAATAAAAAAAAATAAAAAAAGTTTGACGACTTCTAGTAGAATCGAACCCGGTACCTCTCGCATGCCAAGCGACCGCCCTACCATCTAAGCCATCGAGCTTGACACAAATTATAAAATCTCGGGGAACAAAAACGGATTAACAGTGTGTGACGTCAATCGGGACTGAACTTAAGTCCCGCCTCGGGACGGGAGCCACATCGAATTATTAATTAATCTTGTTAAAGTTTCAGCTATTAATAAAGGGTTTTCCATTTAAAGCGTCATAACTTTAACCCTAAAAATAAGGCTGCTCTGGAATGTAAATGTCAAATCTTGACAACACATGTGTTCAGTACATTGTGTCAAATTAATATGGACAGATAACAATTTAACAGCGCTTAGAAATAATTCGTATTTACCATCAAAATGCATGTTCGGTTTGCCAAACATTTTGCAAGTTGCTAGAAATATAAGGTTTATCGTTTAAGAAAAAACTGGTTTACTGGCAAATAAGTCAACTTTTGTGCATCTAAAGGATCATGTGAAATCTCAGGTTTACAAAAATAAGCCACGAACAATTCTCGACCTTAAACGAAACATTAAACGCACTATTCAAAGTATACCACGCGATATTTGTAAAAGAATAGTAGAAATTAGGCCTTCATAATGCATTCAGTCAGGCAAAGTCGAGGGGGACATTTAAACGATATTATATTTAAAACATAATGTCATCGATCGTTCTTCAAAATAAAATATAGATTACGGGATTATAACATGTAGTTATTTTTTATCTCATTTAAAAGTTCTGACGCTCTAAATGAAAAACCCTTTATTATTAGAGGTCGCCACTGAACTGTATGTGTAGTTCAGTGGTGGCCCCTTATCGCGGTTTTCTTTTTTCTATGTAATTAACATGGAAATAATGTTTAACTTTAAAATTATATAAGTCGATAACAGATCAATGCATTGCAATGGACTAAAATGAACAAAACAGATATGTTCTGGTCATTTATAATTGTAAGGTAAATCTACTCGTTCAAAAGTTATTCAAGCTTAAATAGAATGTATAGTAATTTTTTCTTACTTTTTATAAAACTATAGGATTTAGTAGAAAATGTCATAGGACTTTTTTGTAGGGTTTGTATTTTTTATTTAATATTCAATATTTAATTATATTCAGGTATTTCTAACAGGTTTTATGAAATATTATATTGTTTTATGTTTTATGGTTAAAGTCAGTAATAAAAATTTTATATCATTAGAAAATGATCAGTCTCTTATACCTATTTCATTTATTTATATTTATTGGTTAAAACATAAAAAGTTTTAAGCTAATTAATTGAGATACATAAATTCATTTATTGTGGTTTTAGAGTTTTATAAGAGGTAGTTTTCATAAAATTAAAAAAGAGAAAAGAATGATTTTGGAAAAATTATAACATAATAACCATATAATTTTTAAATCCTGTAAGTAGTTCAACAGTTACTGGTTTTACAAATTAATATTTCTGGTTTGAATAACAATTAATTTTAAGAAAATAGCAATTTTATTGAAAAAATTAATTTGTACCTAAGAGCAGTAATTAAAAACAAATTGAATTACATATTTTTTTAGAAAATAAAATGATCTACAATTCGGAGGGGACTTTAAGCCGTCGGTCCGTTCCTACCCCTAACCCGCAAAAGCCATTCAGTTGGCTTATGGGACATCTTAGTTTGGATGTAAGGGTGGAACTAAAAGAGCACTTTATAACTTTACTTATATATATTCCTATAGGAAATCTTAAAAAAAAACAACTTGTATAGGCCACAAAACAGCTTTAGCCTAGGGCCCCCAAAGGTAACGGTTCGTCCTTGATTAAATCCGACAGATATAGAAAAATGTATAAAATTAAAATGTGAAGAATAACTTAAGAAAAACTTTTAAAATCAAGATTTGACAATTTATTGGCAAATTTAATCTTATAATTGTTTTTTAAAAAGGGGCGAATGCGCCGGGATTTAAATCATATTGTTTTTTGTGAATCCCCGAAGTTATTGCGTAGAAATTTGTATAAAAATTTGTAAAATTAAAAATGCGAATTATTACAATAATTAAAAAAAAATACATAAATATTATCAGGTCCTACTCTGTCTTGTACACGTTACAATTACTTAGCAGTTCTCTCCCCCTCTTTTTCCTATATTTAGATAATTAGACCCGTTCATGGCAATATAAATATCAGATGGAAAGAGATCACTTAATATTTACGATGCTTATTTCATTACATGCCTGTATGAACAGGTGCTTTTCCCAAAATTAAAAAAAATATATTTATAAAAAAACCTGAAACCTTAAAATAAAAAGCCTGGGAACATTCCCACTTTACAACCACGATGATTCAAACCATAATCCTTGAAATTATGTTTATTGAATTTATTTGGTTTTGTGTTTAAGTAAGGTAAGTACGGTTTTACTAACAAACACAACTTTAATTATTTAGTTTAAAATTGACGTCTAACAGATATTACAGATCACAAAAATTAACTTGTTTTTGTACAATTAATTAATTATTCATGTAGGTTTTATAAAATTTATAATACATTTTACATATACATGGTGTCCCAAATATAAACTGTTATATCAGCTATTAGCGATTTTCAAGCAGAAACCAATTTGAATGGAATACCTAGATATTAATTCAAGAAAATGTTATAAAATACCTATTGATGCTAATTTAAAATTTTAGGGTAATTATATATTATTATCAAGTTTATTTATTTAATGATAAAATATAAAATATATAATAAAAATATGTGCGAGTAGGTAAAGTAAATAAATAAATAATGAATGATTTAAAAAAAATGTAATTTCTTTTTTATTAATTAATAAGTGTTTTTATATTTAAAATGTTTGTATGTAACCATAACTTGAAGATTAACCATTTATTTTAAATACCTTGAAACGTAAAATAAAATTAATTTCATAAATCTGGTAATATAAAAAAATCAGTATATATATATATATATATATATATATATATATACCGGGTGTATCTGAGAATAGTAACTTTTTTATTTATAAGGATAGACACATGAAATTTAGCATGGTTAATTAGGATATAAAATGACACTTAGGTATTAGAGTACAAAATTAATTTTTTGAACTTCCGGTTTCGCCGGAAATGGTACCAACATTCGATTTTTAAATGGAATGCCCTATATATTTTTACATTTTTGGAACCCTGAGAAAATTCTGAGTCAGACGGCATCCTCAAATTGACCTTTTAACGTTTCATTATCAGAAAATGCATCATCATAAAGATCAATCTATAGATTGATCTATAGAGTGCTTTGAACTATTTGAGAAAAACTAATTTTGACAAGTTTAGACTGCTGAATAACAACTTTCTAAGGCAATTTCTATTTTTTAGGCATTGTGTGGATCCATTAGAAGAAATGTTTTTATCTTATTTAATAAGATAGTTCAAAGCACTCTAGATTGATCTTTATGATGATACATTTTCTGATGACGAAACGTCAAAAGGTCCATTTGAGTATGCCTCAGAATTTCCTCAGGATTCCAAATATGTAAAAATATATAGGGCATTTCATTTAAAAATCGAAAGTTGGTATCATTTCCGGCGAAACCGGAAGTTCAAAAAATTTATTTTGTAATTTTATAAGTGGCATTTTATATCCTAATTAACCATGCAAAATTTCATGTGACCATTTTTATAAATAAAAAACTTACAGGGGTGCGCCTATTCTCAGATACACCCGGTATTTATATATTTAACCAGTCTGTTGAAAATTAACTTACTACTCGTATTTTTTACATAAAAAACAAATACCTATAAACATTAAAAATATTAAATTACAAAAAGAAATTCTAATTTTTCTAATATATTTTGATTTATACAGTGTGGCCCATTTGACTCACAACAGTAAAAGTGTAGATCTTGAACCGTATTTTTGGAGAAAACAACGCCATATTTTTTACAAAATACAGTCAGTTTTTAAGAGTAAATGTGTAAGAATTTTTATTAGCTATTCTATGCACGGCACTGGATTTACCACCCCTCAAAACGACCCTATTCCAAAACTATTACAAACATTTATTCGGTCAAGTTATCCATAAAAAAAAGAAATAAAATTAAACTAATATATTACTATAGTAACATATGTTACTATAGTAATATATTAGTTTAATATGGTATAAATATTTCTATGATCAGTTTTGACAAATAAAAACGCAATAGAAACTTAAAACAACAATGAAACAAAAAATAGAGAATTCTAATAATTCTCTACCATTAGATTCACAGATTATAAAGGTTATTAGGTGATTCGATTTTCGTCACCTCTACTGCACAAGAAATAAACGGGCTAGGGTAATACAAGCATGCGCAACCATTACTCCAGAACAAATATGAAAGTGTACTTAAATAAATGGTGGATTAGTAGAGGTGACGAAAATATAATTGTAGAGAATTTTCTAAATTTTCTATTTTTTGTTTCATTGTTGTTCCTATTGCGTTTTTTATTTTTTTAAAACCAAGCATAAGAATATTTATACCATGTTACTATTAGTTTAATTTTAATTTAATGTTTTTTTCATGAATAACTTGACAATTTATAAAATAGTTATTATTGTGCATTTTTAATTTAGCTACTTAAAAATGTTCAATAAAAAAGATCTTTTTGAGGGGTGCATAGATTTTTTTTTAAATCGCCAATATGATTTCCTTAAAATTTACTCTTAAAAACTGACATAGTAGGCCTTGTATTTTGTTAAATGGTGTATGGTGTTTTTTCTAAAAAAATACAGTTTATCCAGAGACAATCATACTTTTTTTTTTAATTTTAGCATGAACGATTCCAATTTTGTAAACATTACAAATATTGAGTACTTAATTTGTTCCGTGGTACTTAAAAGTACAAGTATACTAGCACAATTTTAAACAAAGTTTTAAAAATGAAATTTTAGAAACTCAAAAATGACGAGCATCCACGCAGCAAACATCCACGAAGTCCACGAAATGCCCATGTCGGAAATAATAAGACCGTTTATGTCTTCAGTGGACGAAGACAAAGTTACTTCGTTAATGCAGACGCTTTCCGACCCTAAAACGGAAAACCAGGTTCCACCGATCGACATAATGTGGATCGTAGGAAGCGAGGGTGGCAATTACTACTACAGTTTCGGCGGGTGTCACAGGTACATCGCGCATGTACGACTTAAGTTACCCACCATCAAAGTTAAGTTGGTTCGTTGTACCACTAAGGATTTGTATGTTTACTTGGGGTCCAGTACGCCAGACTTAAAATAAACATAAAGTATTTGTCCAAGGACTACACAAAGACTATTTAACATTTTTTTAGGGTTTTAAATTTAAAACCCTAAAAAAATGTTAAATAGTCTTTGTGTAGTCCTTGGACATTAATGTTTTAAAATTATGGTTAATATCGGTTTAAAAAGAAATAGTGTTTGTATATTTGTATTTTTTATAAACATGCTTTTTAAAGTGATTTTCCAATATATAAATATATAAGTTTTTTTCACAATACAGTATACATACACATGTGCACGGATGGGGTTAGGTACAAAGAGAAACAAAAATATTTTACATTAATGTTATGTAATACAATTTCCCAGAAAATTACATTCCTGGTAAAAGTTTTTGCCCGACATTGTCTATGGTTAATTTGCAATTTTGAAAATTTTGAGCTGAAAAGGTTTTGATAAAAATAATTTTTGATCAGTTTGTGTTCATTTGTCATTTCTCAAAGTAGGTAATCGTTTCTATTGGCTTACTTTTTAAGTTATCACCATAAATACATTTTCTCTACTACTACTTAAGAATAGTAACATTCTAGTTTAATTTTTGATTATAGAAAGGATGTTTTTCTGCAATACTGTGCGAGAATATTCCTACTCTTGGTTAAGAATGGTCACAAGTAACGACATCTCCTGACTGTTTACTAAACGTAAAAAATTTAAAAATATTTAAATATTACTGTATTATTTATTAATTAAAAAATAATAGCAGTTGTATAATTAAGGTTTAGGCACAAAAAATTAGTTATATTTATTGTTTTTCAAATATACAAATCAAAATTATAATAAATTTGATATTAAAATGATAAACCAGTTACCTACTATACCGGCTTTTGACAGATTCAAAAAGTTTAAAAAAAGACCTTTAAAATGTAGAAAAAGAATAGATGTTGACATAGATTACTTGTAAAATTAGTTTTGTATTTGTTACAATGTTATTTTTTTTATTAGTTAGTGTAAATAACTATTTTTAATTATAATAAAGATTTAGGCATACCATTTGTTTAAATTTATTATAATTTACATTATAAAATTGTGATGGCACAAAATGGTTTGACAATACAAAAAACTTAAATGTCAAAAACTGCTCGGTTTCTTTTCTCTGTTTAAAATTATATAAGCGCTACTATTCTTACGTAGTCGTAGAGAAAATAATGTCTGAAACACGTTTGGAATAGCATATTCCACTCTCGTAAAACCGTCACACTCGCCTTCGGCTTGTGTGTCAAATTTTTCCTCGAGCGGAATATGCTGTATTCCAAACTTGTTACAGAATGTACTATTTCATCGCTACTGATCAAATATGATTTTTATCAAGAAATTTTCAGTCCAAAATTTTCAGAAAAATCAAAAATGCAAATTAATAGTATTAAAAAAAATGGTCGCATATTTTGGGGCACGGGTTTAAAATCAAGCAAAAACTTAAGAATGAAATTTAATAGTTTATTATGTATCAAGTATTGTAAACGCCACTTTGGTTACGAGTTTTATTAGGCGGGAGCGAAGCGAGTGTTTAATAAATACGGGTGTCTATAAGTTTATAAAACGAGTTGCATACTATACCTTATCTACATCTACGACGAACGCAAAGAAAAATTTAAAACCAATTTTATTTGTTAAATATTTGACATCTGTCAACTTTAAACGTATTTAACCTCACTTTTCCCTAATAAATCTAACTTCAGCCCGTGACTAAAACACCCAAAGTCACAGATCGTCAATGTAGGAGTAGATAATAGTATATTACCTATCAAGTTTGCTAGATTATAAAATGTGTTGCATTATGCAACTTGTTTACTATATTTTATGTGCGACGAACAGCAATAGGAATTTAAAGCCAATTTTAATTTCAGCCCGTGACTAAAATGTCCAAAAGCCACTGCTGTTAACTTCAGCCCGTGACTAAAATGCTATAAAGTCACAGCTCGTCAATGTAGGAGTAAATAAAATATTTTTATTGTAACCCTATCCGAGGACATACTACATAAGTGGTATTAAGTATTTAGCATTTTAAATAATTATGTTGCGTTTTCAAACTCCTTTTAATACATTACAACAAAACAACAAAATTACCACAATAGTATATTGTGCACTGGTGGAAATATATTTTTTCTACTCCCACCTTTAAAACGCCCTTTATCGTACATGTTTCCATGACACTAAGTGACCTTTTAAATACACATTGACAAGTTGTGGCTTTACGGCGCTTTAGTCACGGGCTGAAGTTAGCAACAGGTAGAAGTTAGTTTGAAGTTAGTTGACAGTTGTCAAATGTCATACAATCGTTAAAATAAAGTGCCTTTCTTGTAAAATAATACTAATTGTGAAAATTATTTTATTATCTCAATACAAAAATACAAAAATATTAAATAGATTCTCAACGCCAATATTTGAAAAGTTTATATGAACATTGTACTGACCTTTTAATTTCGTCGGCAGTTAACTATCTTAAATTCGGGCACGGACTCTACTGTAAAGTCCTCATAAAACATTTCCTTTACTTTCACTGTGAAAAACTGTCAATTTTCAAGATACATTTCGATTTATAACCTTTATAATTGTGTTTATAAAATCTAAAAATGTGACATTTGACAGTTTTTCCTGTTGTTTCATAGATGGCGCTCTATACAAATTTTTGATTTAAATCATTTTAAGATAATAATAAGTATTTGTCGTAGAAAATAGTTATTTATGTCATTAGGTTAAGAAGTAAGGCTTTTTGTGCTAAGCTCAAAGTTTGAAGGCCGACGCGTAGCGGAGGCCTACAATTGAGCGAAGCACAAAAAGACACTTCTTGGCCGAATGGCATACAACATTTTATCTTCAAAGCACTTTATATAGGTCAATTTAATTCAACATGAAAGCGGCCTAACCTCACTTTTTTAGAATCTCATTTATTTATTAGCTAAAGATTAAATTAAATGTACAATAATTATTATTCCTTTTAGAAGTAGTAATAGTTTTACAATACCTAGCTACATGATTTAAGCAGAAATGGATTTTTGTAAGAAAATGGTTTACTTACCTTCTTGCTGTTACATTGAATTCAATTAATTGTTTAATAAATAGGTATCTAATTTCAATTTGTTTGCATTTTTATTAAAAAAATAGGTAGTTTGGAATGTTTACGCTGTGTTTAACATTTAATTTCACTGAAAACTTAAAGCAAATTAAAACTTAAAGATAATTTAAATCGTAGAAAAAGAAAACACAACTGTGAAATCCACAGAAACGTCAAATTGCAATGTCCTAACCTCACTTTTTGTTTTATTATTCATATTTAATTTTACAATTATTTAATGAAAAATAATAAACATTAACAGTAAAAGAAACAAATTAGTGCTTATTATAAATAAATTAAACCAGTTTCCCAGTAAGCACAAGATAGACGGGCCGCTTAAGGACCGAATACGTTTGGCCGAATTGGCCGCGTTCGGGCCGCTACACGGTACAAAGCCGGCATGTACACCGGGCATGTCCGCCCGGCCGCCTGGACGTCTTTGAGAGCTCGGCCGCCTGGTCGGCTGCGAGGGCTCGGCCGAGTGTCGGCCACCACCGTGTGGCCGGGTGACGGCCATCACCGTGTGGCCGGGTGACGGCCATAACTGTCTGGCCGAATGCCGGGCATGTACGCCCGGCCGAATGTCGGTTAATAGACGGCCACACGAAGCTGCAATAGATAAAATAATAAAAAAAAATCAAAATTATAAATAAATCGTTTATTCTTAAATAAAATTTCTACAAATAAATATAACAATATTCTAAAACATAAAATAAATATCATAAATAAATAAATCAGTTCAAAAAGTTTAAATTTACTATATAATTACTGACGGGACAAGCAAACACAAAACAAAATGTTTTATGAAAATTTGTGAAGATGTGCTGTTCCTATAATAATAACTTTATTATGGTTATTATTACTAATTTTTATTGCTGAGGAATGTCATAAAATTATTATTATAGGAACAACACATCCTTAAAAATTTTCATAAAACATTTTGTTTTGTTTTTGCTTGTCCCGTCAGTAATCATGGAATCGCCCTACATCAGTATAAGAACCAGAACATAGAAACAATAGAGTTTATACATAGTATACACGGAGAAAAATATATATTAAAATTTGTAACGTACTTTAAAACACTTTAACAACAATGTAGGCACAGAGTGAATGTAGGCGACCTGCCAACCATAAAACAATGTTTAACCATATAACAATGTATAACAATAACTTATGTTCTGTGCGACCTGACAACCATAAACAAAAACACCACAGATTATAAAAGAAAAACACTTTCAACGCAATTATAACAAACACACGCAATGGCGGCAATGCACTTGTCGGACAACAGAACGGACCAGAGCATGGTTGATAGCTATTGGCCAACGCGATAACCCAGCAAGAGCGGCTAATTTAAATCTCGCCCAAATCCAATTTACAATATTAAATCGTGATGCTGGCCAGGTTCTGGACGGCTTCGGCTAGAATATGGCCATTCGCTAACCGGGCTTACATACACGGTCCGTACGCGGATCGGTTGGGGGCAAGCCGAACCGCATATGCAACGGCATTGCCACAGTAAACTGTGGCATTGCCGCTATCTAACCGAACAGGGTTAGACGATGGCCACACGGTAACCGGGCTACCATAATGAGGACCGTAAGCGGGCCGCCTGGGGCAAGCCGAACAGCCGGCCTGCCGCTTGTGCCGAGCGGAGGCCGACAGTTTGCCGAATGCCTTGTGCTTACTGGGTTAGTACGTTAATTTCTTAGAAAAGGATTAATTTGTCAAAACAATACCCCTAGCGAGAAAAAATCGAACTAATTACTTGCCTCATAAAAATTTTTATCGGCCTAGGCCATAACAAGTTATTTCTTTATCGAATGTTGACAACAATAAAGTTTAAATTATAGACCGCGTGGAGATAAAGTATATTATGCACCTCGTTTATAAACTTCCCAAGCAGCATTTTTGGTTCCAAAAACCATTGCCAAAGTGGTGATAACTTTAAATTAGTTAAGTATACTAAACAGCTACTTTAATTTTTACTTAAAAGTAATTCTAACTTTTAAATAGCAATATTTTGTAACAGAAACTTAATTTTTCCTTAAATTGTTACTATAAAGTAATAAACATTTAAGTAAAACTTGGTTGCCCCCAAGAAGACTTTGCAACTTTAAAAAAGATGTTATAAGTAAAAAAAACTTTCAAGTAAATTTAATTTGTAGCAGTTACTTTCGGTTGCTACCTAAAGATTACATTATAATTATTTTTACTTTGTAGTCCCTTTGCAAGTTAAAATCTCGAAACTGGAACATGAGTTAAAAACTACAAAGTTAATAACTTAAAAGTTATTATTTTAGTATTTGGAACGTTTATGGTACTAACCAAAACAACCGTAAAGTGGAAAAAAACTTTAAAGTAGCGAAAACTACTTCAAAGGAAAATGCTTCTTATCGGCCATTTTTTACTGTACAGTACCACGTGGTAATGTAAATAATAAATTATTTTAATTGTTTGTAAATGGTTGTTTACTTTTTAATAAATAGAAATATTGTTGGTAATAGACGGTATTAATAATTAAATAAAAAAAATAATAATAAATATTAAGATTTTTTTATTTAAAAACATTACTAAATAAATAATTTGTTTATACTTAAATATTGATGAAGCGCATTTATTTTACAAAAACTAAATTCATAAGTTCAACAGTAAAATTTAAAGGGTTTATAAATCTACCTGTCTAATTAAATATTATATTGTTATTCTGGAAGTTATAAACTACATACATATTTAATAAACGACGACATTGAAAAGCCAAGTCCGTAGTGGTTCCATTTAAAAAAGGAGGGATAGTATAATCTAATATAAGTTTGACAAAGACAGTTAATATAGAAGTAAAAACAAATAATAAAAGTAATTATAACGCTCTAGCAACGATATTGGAACGTTCTAGTAACGTAGCAGCTACGTCCCAAATAGTAGCAGGGTTGGTAGCTAGTGACATATTTGCTACCTTTTTGGAACTCAATAATTGTTCCCCACTTTAGTCGTAACGTAGTAATAAAAGAGTAATATAAAGAGACCGGCGACTGTCGCAAAACACTTTAAAGTTTCTTCAATAGTCCCATATACGTAACAAATACTTAAATTGTTGCTTGGGTTTTCTATACACTCATTAACTTAAGCACTCGCTCGCAAGCTCGCTCGTGCCTAAATTATATTCGTGTATAAAATGGCGTTTATCAAACTTGATACATAATATACTATTAATTATTAATCTAGGTTCTTTAGGATCAATAAATTCTCTACAAAAAATGTTAATTATTTAAGTTTATTTCGCTAATAATTCCCATAGTAAAATCCACTAAAAAGTTTTGCGTTTTTTAGGTCTAAAAACCAAACCATATCGTCCCCATTATCACATAACTTATGTGACATAAGGGCGTATCTCAAATTTAACAATTTTACAAAGCATTTTAAAGATTGACGATATACGAGTACTACGTAGGTTAAAAAATTGGATGGCAATTTTGTAGTATGGTACTAAACAAGAGATTATTCAACTTTTTAGTAAATATAAACTTACCAAAGGTTAATATTGTCCAATCTTCTATGGTATTTTCTACACAAAGCATCAGTGTTTTCTTAAACATATGACTTGTTGAGTATAACTTTTAAACATTAAAAAATATTTTAAATTTGTAGGAAATTAAATAAACCATAAATTTGTTTATCAACTTTATGACCTATTATCAGTAGTTTAGTTTCTAGATCTAAAAAACTAGTGGTTATTTTAATGGGAGGTTTTTAAATTTGATAGAACCTCTTAAAATTAAAAGTTGTGATTTTTACTGCATAATCTAAGAAATTTTACATTGATGTTGCTTTTTTAAAAAAAACTAATATACCCATTTGGGGTGTTCAATGATATATTTTATTTATTTCGTGATGCCAAATTTTGTTTTCCTAAAGTTTCTTAATGTCTACTGGTATTTGTAGGTAGGCTTCCATTTTTTTTAAATTTAGTAAACCCCTCTAAATGCTATGTTTCTTAAATTCATATATTTCTTATATTATTGTTACTGTGATATATTAGCTATATTTATTAAAATGTGTTGTAATTTTGGCTGTTATTCATTATTGCATTATTGTAATTAAAAAATGTAAATTTATCATTATTACAAGTAAATAAACAACAAAATATGCAGTTTTATTGAATCAATAATCATAACTTATCATAAGTAGACAGGTATTCTGTTAAATAAAATTTCAATAATATCCTTGACCGTTCCACTTATCATTATTTAAATGCATTTATGAAAAAAAACAAACACAAATGTTGCTGATAATAAGCGGTAATAAAAAGTTCTTCTAATTTTTCAAATAAAATTTTATTGATCACAGAAAATAAAAATATATACAAACCAGGTTCAATCAGCAAAAAGCCCTATTAAACATTAACAAAGCCATTTTAAAAATAAATTCATATCACATTAACTAAATACACTAAAGAAGATTAATGCAATTAATTAATTAAATTACTTATGACATTAAAAATCGCCAGTGTTCAGAAATAGTAAATACACAAACATAGTGCAAATCAATTAGTTAATTAGCTAATTAACAAAATTTATTAATGGATTTATTTATATAAAAAAATTCTTGTCTAGAATGTAAAAATTATGAGTAAATAAATTTAAATCTCCTTACTGAGTTAGTGTATATCACAGGTACAAACTATAAAATTAATGTATTAAATATGATTGGACACCTTAAAAAGTTACCAACATTTTTTATGGAAAGGAAAATCTAAACTTAATCTAATTCAAATATAAATCGTATATTTTAGAAAAGAAATCTTCAACTTTTTGCAAAAATTATGTTTACATTAAATTGCAAAAACTTCTTTCAGAAAATGTTATGTTTTAATGAAATCATTGTTGGGCTTTTTTAGCTGTAGAATAATGTAATCTACATAAAGTTGAAGGTATAAAACATTATAAAATATAATAATATTTGATTGCTTTTACGTAATATACGATTGAAATATTAGTAATTCCAATTAATTTAAACTAATTAATAATTCTTATTAATTAAACTAATTATACTTAATGTTATAATAAATTGTCTTAATTAAGTGTAAAATCTAGTTGATATTACCGTTTGCTGCGTAAAAATACACAAATTCCAAAATTCCCATTTGGAAAATACTAAATTAAATTTTGTATGTAAATATTAGATATCTGAATAAATCAGCAAGTACTGTTGACTGGTATAAAAAAACAGTTAATATTATCTAAAGTTAATTTAGTATAAAAAATTAAGATAAAAAATTCAACCCTCACCATAAAATGTTTATCAATACAATATTTACCTACAACTCATAAAAAATATATTAATTTTTGCTTAAATAAGTAAGATTTTTTGTACATGAATAATTTTAGTACTTAAAGAGACATTATTTTACCAAGCAAGTGATTAATTTTATAATGTTCACAATTTCTAACCCTTTTATTTATAAAATTGGTTAAATAAAAACAAATGTTTCTGTTATAAATTTATTTAAAGAACTTTAAATTACTCTTATATTTTTAGTAGTTTTACAACAAAATGTTTGTAAACAATTTGGTTTCGAATTAATACTTATTGCACCGGCCTTTAATTAATTTAATTAAAATGTCCGCCGATATTAATTCCCGTTTAAAAACCTACTGTTAACCTTGAAGGAGTTCTTGTCGATGAAATAAGGTTTGTATGTTTTTTTCGCGTACTTTGCGGTGGGACTTTCCGTCGATTTACTCACGTTATTGCTGGTATGGCTTTCCGGTTTGGTCGCTGTAGCGTTTTCCGATGTTCTTAGGTGTTGCGGAATCGTGCCGTACTTCACGTGAATCAGCCGGGTGTCCAGAACTTCGCAATCGATTTGCATTAGGGGCATCAATGTTCCTTGTGGAGTGGAACCTGGAATAATAACATATTTATAAGATTTGAATAAAGAAACTTCAGGCATCAAGCATCAAGTCCATGTTTAAATAAGTTCATAATAACTAAAATAATTCCATCCAATATTTAGTTTGACGGGTTTTAATATTTTTTTAACTATAATGGAAGAAACAACTGGGTTTATTAGCGGGAGTATATTAATATTAATAAATTAACAAGAAAATCGGTAAAGAATGGTTTTAAAGAATATAAAAATAAATTTGGGAAAATAATATTTGGAAAATTATAATAGTTTTTACTAGGGATGCACCGGATCGGGTATTTTGCCGATCCGGCCGGAACCGGAATTTCGGCCGCTGGCCGGACCGGATCGCCGGAATTCCGGCCGGATCGGGACCTAAATTTAAAATGTATGTGCATGCCTATTTTTATACGTAAAACATTGAAAATATTGAGGCTGATTTATTTTTACTTTTTTTTAAAATAGGTACAGTTTGCATAGTGTTTATTACTATTAATTTTACCTAGATAGAAATTACTGTTTATTTATGTTTTGTAATTTTTGGAAAGAAAATATATTTTGTTCAAAAAAAATTATTTGTGATTAATTAACGACTTAACAATAGGTAAGTAGGCACCAATAAAAAAAAACCTTAAAATAATTTTCTTTATTTTTGCATATATTTGAATTTAAATTATATTAAAAATTTAAAACTTAAACATTTCCAAAAAGTTCCGAAAATTCCGGATCGGCCGGATTTAGTGGTACCGCCGGAATTCCGGTGCATCCCTAGTTTTTACATTAATAATTATTAATGTACTGTATATGTAATCCTGTAATTGGATGCAAATGTATATTGTAAATTTTTTGTCCTATAAATAATAAAAAATTAATTACTTTAAAAAAATATGGTTGAGAATAATCCATAAACAAAACTTGTTGTAAATATCGCAAATTTTTATTAAAATACTTATTTAAGCAAGGGTTACGCTACGCTTTATTATACTTTGATTTTCTGTATACAAAATTAATTAGGTCTGTAATTATGTATTAGGGCCAGAGCTGTGCGGTACTCGAGTACTTGTACTCTAATTTTGAACTTTAAGTACTTTTTATGTACTCGGTACTCAGTCCAGAGTACATTTAAAAAAAAGTACTTGTACTTGTACTTATTTAATTTAAAAATGTAAAAATGGGCACGAGTACCTACATTGGTTTTACTCGAGTACATTTTTTGTACTCGAGTACATTTGATGTACTCGAATACTTTTGTTGTACTCGTGTACATTATATGTACTAGAGTACTTTTGTTGTACTCGAGTACTTTTTGTACTCGGAATCTTTGTGTTAAGTTAACATATATACTACTATTAACATATTAAGTTAACATATATACTACTATTATAGTATATAATAGTGGCACTACATATTTAAATTAATCGCCATAATTATTATGCTTTAGCAGCTTAAGTTTAACGGTTCGGCAATATTCGGATATGGACAAGTTGGTAAAATATCATTGTGGTGCCCTACTTTATAGAGATATTAAATATTACAAGGTATCTCTGGTAGCGCCGTCATAATGTCATATGTAACGATTTTTTTAAAGAAATTCTTCAATACAGAATCTGCATTAGTATTATTTTAAGTGTTTTTTGGTTTTTGTTATACTGGGGTAAGTAAGATTTTAAATATTATTTTGTTATATTTGGTAGGCTTAAAAAATTAGGTTATATTTTTACATTCAATTGTTTTTTTTTGCAGTCACAAATGAATATTACTTTAATTTAATTTCGTGCTTGCAGTTAAATATAGTTTAGGCTATTTATTAAATAAAATATATAATAAATTACTTGCAAGAATAGTATACCTATAGGTAATAAAGGTTATATGTAAAAGAATAGTTAATCTATTTTAATTTTTTTTTTGTTTAAAATCGAAATAAGTGGTTATTTAGAAAAAAAATTTAAATCATAAATAAATACGTGTATTAAAAAAATATAAAAATACAGATTTTTTAAATATCCATAAGCCTGATATTTTGTTTTGTTTAACTTTTAACTTTTAACAACTTTTTTTGCAAGATACTGAAACCTAAATTCTATTTTAAGAGTTTTTGGAAAAAGTACTTGTACTTTTACTCGAGTACTTTTTTCTTGTACTCGGAACAGCTCTGATTAGGGCCATTTCAAGCATGCGGACGGGACAAATCACAAAAAAAGAAAGGTTATTTATTAGATACTTACGCAAGAATATTTTATAATAGGTAGTGATAATTTTAATAATGGACAGTTGTGGATGGGACAAGACAAATATTCCGTTTGTCCAATCCACAATATAACTTATAGCCTAATAAAAGAATATTTTTGAAAATTTTGATGTCAAAATAATATACAGTGTGACCCATTTGTTTGCGACTTACCCCTGTAAAATCTTTATTTATTGTGCGATTTTAACCGGATTTGTTTTAAAGTGTAGATCTTGATAAACTGTAAGACGCCATATTAGCACAAAATCTTATCTTATCTTTATCTATTTTGTATATTAATATTTATATTTTTAAATTAAATTTGAAAAAAAAGTAAGAATGCAAAGACATAAATTAAACGAAAACGGTATAAACACTAATTTAGCAAGAAAATAAATAAAGAATATACAAGGTTGGTAGCCGGAGTAAGCAAAAAAAAACTAACATACCCACCCCCATTCACGAATACCAATTGAATGGGGATACTACTAAGGCCTAGGTTGAGGGGGATTCCAGATTGTACTTAGTTTTGGGTCAGTTCAATGTCCTCCAAAAACCCTTCCTAAACTGGACGTATGGCCCGACCCGGCTGACAAAAATTCCGGGAGCGGCCTTAACCTTTGACACTGTCATCCACGACCTCCTAGGGTGGAACTACCAGCCGACGTAAAAACTTCGGATCCAACAAACACAGGTAATGCTGTGATTTGGCGGGATACGCAGGAGAACGGAAAGGGGGTAAAATAACCCCGGGAGATCAGTGGATGATAATATATCTGGGGCCTGCCATACGTTCCCATACTCATACTCATACTCATTAGAATTTGATATGGTTGGAAAAAAAATCAAGAAATCCAATGATGTATCAAACTACATAAGTTATGGCGCCTGGCGCCACTGGCTCCTTTTTTAATTAAATATTTCATTTTATTATGCATATAATTACGCAACTTTTCTCTAATTTAATCGACCTTGTAACTCTTTAAATAAAAAAAATACCCAACAAAGTATTCTTATATACACATAGAAGGATATTTGGTGCACCCTGTATAATTTACAGTGTATATTTTTTTTCAATGTATTATTTAGGGCACGTTTAAACTTAATCCAGATATTTTATAAAACATAAAAAAAATATTTAGTTTATTTCGTGTAACCCGGTAGATCGGGTAAATCAATATTTTTCAGGACATGTACAGGGTGATCCCCTATAATGTCGCCCCCCTTTAACTTTTTTATTTTAAGTGTCCGAAAAAATTTCAAAGTGTGGTATGTAGGTACTAAAAAATACTTTTTTTCTACGTATACAGAAAATTGGAAAATTGATCAGTATACAGGGAAAAACAAAAAGTTTATTTTTTTCAATGGATCACCCTATTTATGTATTTATTTTTCAATTCCTTGTAAAATTCTAAGCATATTTCATATAACATACCATATACCTAAATTCAACCGTTTCTGAAATATTTAAATTATTTTTAAGATAATAAGTTGAAATAGTTTGTCTTTCTCTGTCTGAGTAGGCCATTTTTACTTATTTAACAAGACATATTGACATAATGTCACTATAATAATTTATTTTCAATAAAAATTTTGGTGAACTGAGGCTTCTCGATTTCTAACAGTTTGAAAAAACATTTAATGATAACATTTCGAATGCGAATATTTCAGAAACAGTTGAATTTAGGATATGGTTTGTTATATGAATTATGCTCAGAATTTTACAAGGAATCCTCAAATTTTTTGGGACACTTAAAATAAAAAATTTAAAGGGGGGCGACATTATAGGGGATCACCCTGTACAATTGAGCAAAGCAATAATAATAATTATTAATGGTGAGGTTAGGTAGATCTGACAGTAGTCGAATTTTTTTATTGGTTCAAAGTTCATAAATGAATCCATCAATCAATGTATCAAAACCCCGTAAATCCACTTTAGAGAAATTTGCATAAATGAAGAAAAATGGTTTAACAAACTTATGACAGCCCCTCTGTAATAAATGTTTATTTTGTGAAATTTTAAAACATACACAGTTGGTGGCATTTGAAACCAATTATTGGATTTAAAGGATTTTTTCTTCTCCCACCTTTAAAACGACCATGACACTAAGTGACCTTTTAAATACACATTGACAAGTTGTCGCTTTATGGCGTTTTAGTCACGGGCTGAAGTTAACAACAGGTTTTTAGTCACGGGCTGAAGTTAGTTGACAGTTGTCAAATGTCATAAAATAAAGTGCCTTTCTTGTAAAATAATAATAAATGTAAAAATTATTTTATTTTCTCAATTCAAAAATACTAATTAAGTATTAAATAGTTTCTCAACGCCAATATTTAAACCCACTGTAAAGTGCTCATAAAACATTTTCTTTACTTTCTCTGTGAAAAACTGTCCATTTTCAAGGAATACATTTTGATTTATAACCTTTATAATCTGTGTTTATAAAATATATAAATTTGACATTTGACGGTGGCACACAGATTCCCCTATTGTTTCATAGATGGCGCTCTATACAAATATTTCATTTAAGTCATTTTAAGATAATAATAAGTATTTGTCGTAAAAAAAGTATAGTATGCACCTCGTTTATAAACTTTTCTATACACTCATTAATTTAAGCACTCGCTCGCAAGCTCGCTCGTGTCTAAATTAAATTCGTGTATAAAATGGCCTTTATCATAATATACTATTGAATTTAAATAAGATAGATTTAGTGGGTTTTGACACAGCAAAAATTGGTCAACAAATAAATAAAAAATAACTCATCAAATAGCTGCTGTTAGAATAATGACTGCTCTAATGTTGCACAAATAAAATTTGTATGGTGCCGCGGATCACGTGTTGTCACGTTAGTGTTCTATGATTGGCTACCGTGGATTTAGTGGGGTGTAAAAATTAAGTCAAATGAATTTAAATCTGAACACACTTTTTAGAGTACATTTTTGTAGATGGTGGATTTTTTTCATGTCTATATTTTTTTAATCAAAAACAGATTTAATGGGTTCTGATACATTAGGGACGTAAGTTTATTAAGATTTTAGTAGTAAGTAACTTTCAATAGAATCCTTTGTCTGTTTTCTTTCAAAAAAATTTTTAATACATGTTTTTGTATTTTTTAAGTGCAGGTTCCAGCACTTGAGAAGGCACCACGCGAGAGCGACAGCTCTTAAAACGTAAAAGTTTAAAGATTAAAACCAACAATTTTTTTTTTAATGTGCAAACCAATTATAGTGAAACAAACAATTTTTATAAAGTGCAAACTAAAATGGTGCAACGGTCAATGAGGAGTGAAGTGTTAAGTGATGAATGAGTTAAGTGCCACCTGTCATTGGACGCTTTTCACTGGACAAACAAAGGAGGTCAAACAAGAGGGGAGGTGGCCATCCGCAAAAAATTGATAAGTAACTTTAAGCATATGCATGACCCAACACATAATCAGCAAATTAAACAGGACAGATATCTTTAAACCCCTAAGAAAGGCACACTGCGTAGGACAATAAATCTGTCAACAACAAATGCGTAAGGCAACCCAAACGAGACCAATAATAAACACTAGACACACAGAATAAACTAACACATTAATCATTATAACCCTAACATAGTAAAAAAAGCATAATAACAAATTCTACTGGATTTGTAAACATTAGATAACAGAATAATTGGGCTTGTCATTTGTTTAACTAACGAATAAATGCAATATTTAATTTCGGAATTTAAGAAAAAAAGACCAAACTCTACCACAAAACGTGCTTGGGCAACAAAACACAATAACTAAAAAAAATTGTTAGAAATTTCGCACTACTGCGGCAATAAACAATTAAAAAAAACACCAAAAGCTACAAGTTACCTATCCAGCTACTGAACTATCTATTGGTTTTCGGCATCAAGACTGAGGACACGGGCAATGACAATAACGAACAAGACGAAGACCTCGACTAGAAAACTACACCCCTGCAGCGAAATAACAATTCCCTTAACTCCAAATAGTAATCCCAAATGTTTGGAGTAATACTAATCGACTGGTCTAGGGGGATTCCGCGTCGTACTTAGTTTTAAGTCGGCGTAATTGTCCCCCAAAAACCAACAAACGTCTATCCCTCCCGTCCCTCCTCCTCTATACCCTACTGGGCGTATAGCATCGGCTCGGCGAACCCGAGAATGGCTATTAAAACTATTCGCATGTCGCTCTCGAGCCCCAAATAGGGGACAGTACGAAACGCAATGGACATTCGCACCCAGCAAACACGGGTGAAGCCGTGCAGTTGCTGGGGGCGAACAAAAATCGGCGTAAGTAAACATAGGCCTGTACGGTAGGGTGGGCCGAAAAACGTAAAAAAAAAATATTTGAGATATTTATTTTTGGGTAGCAATAAAAAGTTACCTTATGTTAAAAGTAATTTATTAGAAAAAATGTAGCGTACTAGCCCATTATTTAAGGGTCCCCCGGGGGCCCAAAATATTTTTTTTTTAATGTTTTGACTGGGGTGGGAACAAAAAGTTACCTTATGTTAACAGTAATTCTAGAAAAAAAATGAGCGTACTAGCCCAATATTTAAGGGTGCCCCGGAGGCCCAAAATATTTATTTTTATCATATTTTAATTGGGTTAACCACAAAAGTTACCTTATATTAACAGTAATTCTAAAAAAAAAAAATGAGCGTACTAGCCCAAAATTTAAGGGTGCCCCGGAGGCCCAAAATATATTTTTTGTTCATATTTTAATTGGGGTAACCACAAAAAGTAACCTCATGTTAACAGTATGTTTCGAAAAAAATAGCCATTCTAGCCCAATATTTAAGGGTGCCCTGGGGGGCCCAAATTTTTCTATATATATATTAATTGCGATGGCAACAAAAACTTACCCCATGTTATATTGCATAGACAAACCAAATGCCTGTATCAGTCTAAGTTTTTTTTTATTATTTTATTAAGACGCCTTTTGATGAAAAAAAATTAGCAACTCTTGGCTTGATTTTATTAAATTTAAAAAAGATTTTGCGTTACTCTAAATTAATTAACACAACCACTATCGAAATAAATAAAGTCTTAAAAGAAGTAAATGCTTGGTCAGTTAATCATAGACTTCAGTTAAATGCCAAAAAGGGTCTTGTAATAAATATTGGTACAGTATATATGATAAATAAAAAACAATATAATTTTAATACCATACATATAAATATTATAGAAATACCTCAGCAAGAAACAGCAAGAAATCTGGGTGTTTTTTTATTATTTATACAAACCTGAACTTTGAAAGCCATGTTACAAGACAACTTAGTTTGTGTTATATGAGGCTGAAATCACTATATTAATTTAAATATGTTCTAAATTCTAACACCAAGTGCAAAATTGTTTCAACATTAATATACACCCTATTATAGACTATTGCATGCCAGTCTACTACTCATATCATACTGAAACATTTAAAAATAAACTCATGTATTAGATTCATATATTTAGTCGGAAAATTTGACCCCATTACTTCAATCTATTTGGAAAACAAGCATTTAAAAATAATTGAGCCTTACAGAAAGTAAATACCTAATAATTGCCTGAATACCTATTCAACAACTGTATTCAAAGATCCAATAAATACAATCTTGATTTAAGGCACAATCTTTTTCAAATACCTAGTCACAAAACTTCAAAATCTAAGGATTCGTTTATAGACCTATCTATAAAAATTTTGAACGATAAAACATTCTTTAACATAATATTTCAATATCCAAACACATTTAATTTTTTATTAACTGTTGTGATATGAAATTATAGGATTTAGTTTAATTAATATGTGATATGCAGAATAAAATAGATTTAATTTCTTAGTAGGTGGTATGGAAGGACGTCCTTACGAACGCAGCGTTTTGTGTAATTTATTTTGTGTTTTATGCAATAAAGCATTATTATTATTATTATTATTATTAATTAATTAATTGGATATTTGCTCCTCGAGTTCCATCCGCTCCCTCCCACCCAGTATTTTTTATTATTTAAATAATATTGAGACTTGTTGTCATATAGGCCTGTAAAGATGTCCGCGCATCTATATATATATGGTTATAACCATTTCTTGCTACCTCACAGCAAATTTTTAATGCAGCTTCTGTTACAAGCTTCACAAACTTTTTCACCGCTTGCGCGTGAAAGGGAAACTTGCCGAACCTTATATAGAAGTCGTCTGCTTGACTTATAAATATTTTTAGTTCTTTTATTTAAAAAAAAAAAAACATTTCCAAATTTATAAACATTTTTAACCCTAGAATTTGCTAAACCGACAAATTTTTGACGTCAAATTTAATATCGGACTTTTTTTCTAGACATATTGTTAACATAAGGTAACTTTTTGTGACTACCCCAATTAAAATATAAAAAATGAGCCCCCGGGGTAACCTTAAATATTGGGCTAGTAATCAATTTTTTTTCTAGAATTACTGTTAACAAAATGTAACTTTTTGTTGCTACTCCAAACAAAATATAAAAAAATAATATTTTGGGCCCCCAGGGGGGCCTTAAATATTGGGCTAGTACGCAATTTTTTTTTCTAGAATTACTGTTAACAAAATGTAACTTTTTGTTGCTACCCCAAAAAAAATATAAAAAAATAATATTTTGGGAGCCCAGGGGGGGCCTTAAATATTGGGCTAGTACGCTAATTTTTTTTTTACAAACTACTTTTGGCATAAGGTAAATTTTTTTTGCTACCCCTAAATTGAATTCAAAAAATAATTTTTTCGGCCCACCCTACTGTACGGGGTCCGGGAGTGATGAGGCAATGGGGCTGGTTATACGTCTCTTATACTTATACTCATGTTTTTGTATTTTTTAAGTGTAAAATATGATTAAATAATATTATTTTTTAATTGTATTGAATTATTTTAATTCGAAAATTTAGGTTGTTAAGAAGCCGTGTATTAAAAAAAATAATGTTTTTATTTACCATTTGGTAGCATGGATGGCATGATCAGAGACATCTTGGGCCTCTGCGTTTTATTATGATGCAACGCCGGCAAAAGCATGTGGTGGTCGCTAAAAGAAACCACGTAAAACGTGTCCGACTGCCGGTTGATGGCCTCGAAAAATTCAGCGTACAACTGTTCGGTCGATGGCAAAAACACCTGCAACTCGTTGTTTCCCGCTTGTTTCGCCGGCAAACTGGCAATCCCGTGGTTCTTGTACTCCATCAGGGGGGCGCTTTTGTATTTCCTCTTCCGATTGGCCCGTTGTTGTTTTTTCGATATTATTTCAGCCACCTTGGAGGGTTTTTTGGTGTCGATTGGTTTGCCGATCCAACGTTCCAGCTCGAGGACCAGCCTCGCGCTTTCCGTTTGGTTTATCGTTACCGGACACATTGTCAAGGGGGAGTAATTCGATGTGTTTTTCTTGATTTCTTCTTCTGGGGTCCACAATAAGCTTCGGCCGTGGTGGTCCAGCTTAGGTATAGGACTTTTTTGTATTATTTTGTCCAGTTCTTGCTTGGTATTAAATGTACCCCTGCAAAATAACTTTCATAACAAGGGCAGAATATATGCGACACATAATGAAAAAATGGTTTTACTTATGGGTCATTTCATGACAAACGATACCGAGGGTGAAAAATAAACATGTTCTTTATTTACAATAAATTAAAATAGTAGATTATGTCATAAGGAGTAGAAGTGGCTCTTTTTGTGGTGAGTACAGAGATTGACGGCCGAAGCGTAGCTGAGGCAGGCAACTGTACGAAGCACAAAAAGAGCTTCTACTCCAAATAACATATACAATTTTTTTTTCAAGGGCGTAATATAAATAGGATAAGCAATAGAATTATTTTATTTACTTATAACTCATGTGGTATAAAATTTTGGCTAAAATCATTACAAATTATTGATAAAAAGTAAAAAAACTTATAACCCTTACTTACAATGCCGATAAATATCCTAAACCATAGATAACAAAGCCCAAACTAAAAATAAACACTGCTCTGTCAAAATGCTGCGCTTGAATTAATTTTGACGTACTGACATTTGTTTGGAGTTCCGACATTGGCGACTCGTCTATCATCATTATATTATACTAATAAACTAGTTGTTCTTTATTTCGTTCAATTAAAATTAAATAAATAATTACTAAATATTTCGTGCGATAATAATTAATATAATTAATACATCGTGATTGCTTTATATGAAATGCTAAATTAATTTTATTATTTGACGTCTATTGAGTCACCTATGGATTTACTTCTATCCCTAGGCTTTTTTGAGTTTTTTGTCTGCCGCTAATGAAAAAGACGTACTTCAACTATCTCTATACATGCATATAACGTTGTATATCATGGCCGCTTGAAAAAAAAATTATTTTTTTTTCAAGCGGCCATGATATACTACCTTATATGCATGTATAGAGATAGTTGAAGTGCGTCTTTTTCATTAGCGGCAGACAAAAAACTCAAAAAAGCCTAGGGATAGAAGTAAATCCATAGGTGACTCAATAAACGTCAAATAATAAAATTAATTTAGCATTTCATACAAAGCAATCACGATGTATTAATTATATTAATTATAATCGCACGGAATATTTAGTGATTATTTATTAAATTTTAATTGAACGAAATAAAGAAAAACTAGTTTATTAGTATAATATTATGATGATAGACGAGTCGCCAATGTCGAAACTTCAAACAAATGTTAGTACGTCAAAATTAATTCAAGCGCAGCATTTTGACAGAGCAGTGTTTAGTTTTAGTTTCGGATATTTATCGGCATTGTAAGTAAGGTTTATTAGTTTTTTTAGTTTTTATCAATAATTTCTAATGCTTTTAGCCAAAATTTTATCCCACACGAGTTATGAGTAAATAAAATAATTCTATTGCTTATCCTATTTATATTATGCCCTTGAAAAAAAAATTGTATATGTTATTTGGAGTAGAAGCTCTTTTTGTGCTTCGTACAGTTGCCTGCCTCAGCTACGCTTCGGCCGCCAATCTATGTACTCACCACAAAAAGAGTCACTTCTACTCCTTATAACATAATCTACTATTCTTTCCCTACTAACCGGTTTTTTATATAAAATCCAACCCACCGGGCTATTTTGGGTTTTGTTAAGTGGGTTGGTTGAACCAACTTGGTTCTATTGGTTTTTTTTAAATTCTATACAGATTTTTTGAATAAAAAATTCAAGTATTTACACAGTAAAATCTGTATAAAAAAATGTATTAAAAATTTCACTCCCGCTTATTTTCGTGGTTGCTCGTTTACTATAAAATGCATACGTGGAATTCAAATCGGCAGGAAAATCCCCGAACTTAAAAATTAAGTTCTAAATTAGAATTAAAATTTTTGAGTCTTAGGGCCGGTTTTTCAAACGTTGGTTAAGTTTATCTTATGGTTAACTTTCTTAGATACTATTGTGTTAACAATAGTAGCTAAGGAAATTAACCGTAAGATAAACTTAACCAACGATTGAAAAACCGGCCCTTAGTTTGACTTAGTTTGACCAGCGCTTTATGCGGATGTTGTTTTAATGTATTGTATTGTTTTCATTTTTTTACTAAAAACAAAAAATTTTAATGTAAAGTTTAAAATAAAGAAGAAAAAATTAATTTCAAAAAACCCTTCAGGCTTTGGGGTTGTGGGTTGTACATAGAGATGCGACTTGGAAAAAAACGGTCCGTAATTTTTGTTTTTTTTCAGGTTTTTTTTCATTGTTTTTTTAATGGTTTTTTTTCATATTTTAGTTTTTTTTTCATATTATATTTTTTTTTCAATATTAGTCCCATTTGCCCAATTTTTTATGTTTCCAGTCCAGTTCATGGACTAAAATTAGAAACTAAATAACATTAGTAAATGTAAATACAGTCTCGCGCTATGCACGCGCCAACACCACCGAATTGACCAATAAGGGCCGCGCTTGTTTTAATTTGGTCCTAAAATAAGTAACTACCCATAATATTTTTGATTCAGCGATCATTATTACGGTATTCGTTAAGATTGAGCGTTGCACGTTTTTCGTAAGTAATATCATAAGGGCATTTAATTTTTCCGAAAAGAATCGAAAAAACACGTTGCTAAGTAATATTTTAACAAAAAGCATGAGTGCTGGTGGCAACAAAAATCCGAGTCGAAGAGGAGGATTTTTGCACCTGCACGAATGCATTTTGTTAAAAAATATTACTTAGCATTGTGTTTTTTCGATTTTTTTCACAGGAAAAATTAGATGCCCGAATGGTATTTGACAAGACTATTTCATGAGTAACAGTTAACAATTAAAATATAAATTGCAATTTTTGGTGACAACAGCTGTCAAGTTTTGCCGCGGGTAAACTCGAATAAACTGCTGACAGGTTCTGTCACACAGTTTTTTCACCTAGAAACCATTTGTAATTCAAAATTGCGCGTTTGTGATTGGTGGAAATTAAGACGAGGGAAATAGTCATCTAAAAATCTCAAAACTATAGTTTCTATAGAACCTTCAAGCTTTAAATTGCTTTTTTTACGGCTCCAATACGACCATTTTTAATGAAGATACAGCTATCCGAAAAATCGCAAGAAATTTGGAATTTTTTTTATCCTTTAATTTTTTTTATTAGTGTGGAAGTTTTACATTGCTATTGGTTTCTTATCTCGAAACTACCAAATAATAAGAAATTAGATTTTTTAGTCTTGGTAAAATTTTTCAATAATAAAAAATGTAATATATTCTACATTTCACTTTATTATTAATATACATTTTACTCAAAATTTCATTTTGAAAAATTACTCCATTACTCCATTTTTTTCTTGACAGAATATGCCTTATTGTAGCGGATTTGAAAAAAAAACAAAAAAAACCGTTTTATTTCTAGTTCTTTTTTCATGTTTTTTTCACATCTGAAAAAAAAAACCGTTTTTTACATCTCTAGTTGTACACAAAAAACACTGTTTTTTTGCGAATCGAGGAGTGGCGAAAGTCGCACTTTCGCCATGGCGTTGAGACAAATTATTTATTTGCAAGTGTCAAAATACCAATGCTTGTTTTATTTTCATGCATTAAAAAAACACTAAAAACCATGCTATAAATATAAATCTGCCAGTTTAAAATTTTATTTTTTAAGTACATATTCTAGTTAAATAACCTGCCTGATATTGTTATCAAAGGTTTTTCCTGCCACTTTATCGCGCTTACTGAAGCATGCATTTACACATAATAATTATAAATAACATGTTTTCTGTATTTTAATCGTATATATTTTTAGCTTACCTTAATGCGTCGAAATTAATAGCAACCACGAATAGAAATACGCATAAAACAATGCTTTGTTTAACATTTTTACTGGTTAATGTTGGGACTGGGACACTGATAAATTCTTGGAGCCGTTCTTTAAGTTGATTATTTTCCTAAAAAAAATATTTTATTATGCAGGGTGGGCATGAATTAATTTAAATTAATTAATTCAGCTTTTTAATTCTGAGTTTAAATTGTAAATTAAATCAAATATTTTTTAAAAAAAGTCAGGAATAATTCAACTTTTACTTCGAATTTTATTGTACTGGAAAAATGATGCTTTGCTACTTTAGTTTAGGTAATTTTGATTTGCAGTTAATAATTAAATTAATATTAAGGCATTTGTTACAATAGAGTAATTGCATCAAAAATGAAAATCCCTAAAAACCTTTTTAATGTAATCTAGAGGTAAAAACACATTGCGAAAATATTTTTTTATATTCCAAAAATTCAACCCGGCCCCAAAATATCAAATTGAAAAAAAGGTACTTTTCAAACGTTCCCGAACTCCCGCCATATTGCATGACGTCATAAACCTACACCAGTGTCAGAAATCAAGATGTCAACAAATAATAAACATCGATAAAGTGTATGTTTAACATGGAAAATGCGAAATCAAAAATTGGTTGTAAATATTGTTTTGTGCCTTCTTGTACAAATACAACCTGGAAAACTCCTGGGAAAAGATTTATCACCATGCCAAAAGGGAAAATAAGGATAAAGTGGATTAAAATAGCTCGGCGCGATATCAAAACATCGTCACCGCAGTCAACATTTTATTGCTGCGAGGATCATTTTAATGTAAGTAAAATATAATGTCGTTTACTAGGTATATGGTTGGAATAGGTATGTTAAATAATAATAAACTCAAGAAAATACGGCTGTGTAGGGTCATGAACTTTGCTTTTGATAATTAAAGAGACAACTTTCCCAGGAGTTTTCCAGGTTGTATTTGTACAGCAAGGCACAAAACAATATTTACAACCAATTTTTGTTTTCGCGTTTTCCATGTTAAACATAAACTTCATCAGTGTTTATTATTTGTTGACATCTTGATTTCTGACACTGGTGTAGGTTTATGACGTCATGCAATATGGCGGGAGTTCGGGAACGTTTGAAAAGTATCTTTTTTCAATTTGATATTTTGGGGCCGGGTTGAACTTTTGAAATATAAAAAAATATTTTCGCAATGTGTTTTTACCTCTAGATTACATTAAAAAGGTTTTTAGGGATTTTTATTTTTGATGCAATTACTCTATTTATCACCATTTTCAGGAAATTTTAGTAAAAGTAACTTAACAAGAACATTGAAAATGGCCCGATCTAATTAACTTACAAAAAGTGGCATTAATTCAAAAAGTCTTGATTTTTTTATAAAAGCCATGACTTTTTCAACCCCGTGTCTATGATTATATTATAGATAATTGGTTGGCCATTTTAAACAAACAGCTTTGAATGTAGAATTTAAAATAAGAAATTTTTATTGAATAACATTTGTTTATAAAAATTTAAAAAAAATTTTTAATACATAATATAAAAATTAAATCATATATTGGTTAGATTAAAATAAAAAAATGGTATTTTATTTTTGTTGGGTGTTTGTTTTTTAAAAACTTGCTTGTAGATATAAGGTTTATTTTTAACATTTTAGTTTGTGATATGGCCATATGCACAAAGCATAGATAAGATATTACTTATCTTTTTTGTAACATCTGGCAATACAAAATATTTTGGAATAAATCCGAAAACTTTATCGAGTTGATATTAAAAGCAATAAAAGTTAAATTTAACCTGAAGTCTTACTTTGAAATTTCAAAATATTTTTAATTCCAACATTTCTTTTCTTATGAATATTAATGTCAACTAATACAAAAAATTTTATTGTTCAATTTTAATTTAAAACTTGTTTTGGGTTAAAAAAACTATTAAGCAGATGTTAAAAATATTTGCCTGACAGTTTTTTAATTGAACAATTGATAATTTTAATAATGAGAATAACATTTTTTTATAAAAAAATGTTAAAAATATATAAAATAATCATTAACTGTTGCCCAGGGTTATAAATGCAGGTATTTCTTAAACATGATTGATACAAAAGTCAAGAAGTCTATAGTTAACTAATTCATGTGATAAAAATTGTACCTATGTGATAACCTTCAGATACAGAAATGCAGGCTATGATTAATCAAAAAATATTTTCACTCAATTAGTACCTAAATGTGAAAATGAAATATTTTTTAATTACCAACTTTATTTAACCTTTTTGATGAGATTTTTGTATTGATATCAAATATCATAATTAAAACATTTCAAAGAAAATTTAATTTAACATGTGTTATCAAAATAAACCATAAATTTAATATGGGGGCGTATTTTAATAATATATCATTTCAAACATGAAATAGTTCTCTTACCAATTGCAAATTATAATTTTCATCTGTTAATTCCTTAACTTTTTCTTCCAAAGAAGTCAAATAATCTTTCTTCTTTTTTCTTGACAAACAGGCAGATTCCCTATTCTTAATTTTCCTTTGCTGTCGTTTTAATATTCGAGGATCAATATTTTTGTCTGCACCTAAATTTAACCCATTACTAGTGTAAATCATGGAAGGCACTGTCACTTTTTGTTGAGCTGCAACTGTTGTCACTGGGGTTATAGTTTTAACATTATTTAAAGAACCAATGTTTTCAAGTACCACAACTTTAGGAGAAACTGGGCTTGAAATGTTTCTGTTTATTTCCTTTTTAATTGCAACCACCTTATTTTTGTTTAGTGGGATAGCATAAGGTGTTTTGGGTTGAATTGGTACTCTTTTAGGAAGTTTAGTAATGTCTTGGTTTTGAGGTACAACGACTAGCGGTTGGGTGTACAAAATATTTCCGCCTATATTTATTGTTGCACTTGGACTTAAAGGATTCAACACTTCCCTTTTCACTTTAGTTTGCAGTGGAACTGTTTTAATATTAACTGAAGAAACTGAATTATCCGAATCTGAAGCACTGTACAATTCCTCCTTAGATTTAATTTCCTGTTTAATGCCTGATTGTAGATTAGGAAAAGCCTCTGGACCCCACTGAGAAAAGTCCATCTCCTGCAAATCGTTGATTTCATGGCATATTTCATTGTCCTTTAAGCTGGCAGGAGAGGCAATATCTGATAAGATTTCATCTGGACTTTTGTCAAAAAATGAATTAAGCATTCGCATTTCATCTTCTCCAGGATTTAATAATAACGGTATATCCAAATCGCACGACAGCTGAGTCAGGAAATCCTCGTCGGATTTTAGTTCTAAGTAATCTGAAATAAAAAAAACCTTTACACACTAAACTTTTGTAAAAAACATTTACAATCACACCTGTGGAACATGAGTTATCGCTGCACGATTCCGGCGAATCTTTAAATGCGTAGTCGCCGAAAAAAAGCCGGTCGTCTGTAGTCAACATGTTTAAATTGCACTTTCACTGATTCTTACACTAAATGCCGGATATAACCATGATGTTTTGGATATGGTGACGTTTTAGAAAAAAATTAGGAAGGTGGTAAACAAACGTCAAAATTTATTGAGGATTTGTTGTTTTTGTAGTGGCAACCTTGACGCTGCGTTCAGAAACACGTCGGTTTTTATAATTTTTTAAGGAATTTAATAATATTTTTTGAAAAGTTAATACATTACAAGCATTAAGAAATATCAAAATAAATATTGTTAAAGTCCAACTTTAATTTTGAATTTTCGGAATGTATTTTGGATAAAGATCGAGTCAACGACCTGATGGGTTCAAATATGCAACCCATTAAACAGAAAAGTAACTGATTACTAATTGCTAATTAGCATAAACGGTAAATCATAACGTCTAGGCCGTAAATTCCAAAAAATGGATTATCCCAAGTTAATTCTACTTATTAGTGGAAAACGAAAGTCCGGAAAAGACTTTCTATGCGAAAAACTAAAAGACATGTAAGCAAAACAAGTTTTAAAAACGTAAACAAAATTAACCCCTTCTTGTAGATTAGAAGAAAAATGTACAATTATAAGAATATCAGGGCCTTTGAAAAGCCACTATGCCAAAGAACACAACCTAAATTTAACAGAATTAATGAGCAATGGAATTTATAAGGAGAAATATAGACTCGATATGATAAATTGGAGTGATGAAGTAAGAGAAAAAGATCCTGGATATTTTTGTAAAGCCGCTTGTGCAACAGGTAAAATTTTGGTTTTGTAATGTCCCTTGTAACATAGCTGACAAAAATTTTGATCAAAATTTATACAAATAGTTTGCAAAGTGGTGTCTGCTTATTCATAAAAAATTGCTTTGCATATTTGTGTAAAATCTCTTATTGTGCCACATTTTGTTCAATTTTCTTAACTTATAAAACAATTTACTATTTCTCAATTCTCAATTAGAACCTAGCCTTGTGGGTAAGAGCCAAAGTCATATGGGAAATATTTTATTTTAAACAAAATAGGTATTAAGTAGGTAGCTTATTAGCCTGTGGTGGGCTTGAAGTGCCTATATAGGCACTTAGGTATTGATTATCATAAATTACAAAAATTACAACAATTAATCTATATGACTTATATAAAGTACATATGAACAATAAATATTACAATGTACAATAAATAATAAAGTAAAATTATAAATGCAAAGGTTCATAAGATATGTTTATCTTTATAATAGCTAAATAATATAATATGAAATAAACTGCCAATTTTAAATGAAATGCATGCAAGAATCTTACAGTAAGATGTGTTTCGGGGGTATTTTTGTATACAGAATTATAAGTTTGTAGCACCCAAACCAGTATTTGGATTATAAGTGACATACGTAGGAAAACTGATATTAAATGGTTTACTGAAACTTATTTGGACAAAGTTAAGACGATAAGAATATCAGCTGATCAGGATATTAGAATACAAAGAGGATGGGTTTTTCAAGAAGGTATTTATTTTAATATTTAACATAAAAAATTAAGAATAAAATACCTACAATTCCTAAACACAAGCCATAATTAGGGCAGGCAATCTCCTTTAATTTTGAAGTATGGATTTGGATATGAAAAATAACTGATCCTTGAGTTTTTTATTTTGTATGTTTGCTGTTGGTAGGTACTTTCTTTTTTTCAAAAAGTCCATTGGCACAGATTAAAATATTTTTTAAAGTTACATTTGTTTTCATATGCCACAGTTAGGGATGTCAATCCCGTGATCCCGAAATCCCGGGATTCCGTAAAAAATCCGATCCCGAAAGTCCCAATCGGGATCTAAGTAATAAGTTACAAAGAATAAAATATTTTTTTTCAAGCGTATGACAATTTTTATATTATAATACTCAGCATATATAGAAATACTTCTTTTTTTAAAGGTCAAAATATTATACAGCCTCTGTACAATATAGAGATGCGACTTGAAAAAAAAACGGTCCGTTTTTTTTTGTTTTTTTTTCAGGTTTTTTTTCATTGTTTTTTTTTCAAATGGTTTTTTTTTCAAGATTAGTCCCATTTGCCTAATTTTTTAGGTTTCATGGACTAAAATTAGCCACTAAATGACAATTAGTAAATGTAAATACAGTCTCGCGCTATGCACGCGCCACCACCACCGAATTGACCAATAAGGGCCGCGCTTGTTTTGATTGGTCCTACATAATATATATAATATAATTATATTAAAATATTTTTGATTCAGCGCTTGATTTTTCAAAAAGCTACCAAAAGCACTTTTTTCATGATTTTTTAAATTCATGTAGAGTATGAATTTTTTTTTTAAACAATAGCAAATTCTTGTAGAACATTTATTCCTTGGTGGTAAAGTCAGAACATTTCGTGGACCAGAAAGCCAAAAAAAATCGATTTTTTTTATTACGGTATTTGTTTGGATTGAGCGTTGCACATTTTTCATCTAAAAATCTTAAGAAACTTCAAGCTTCAAATTGCTTTTTTTACGGCTCCAATGCGACCATTTTTAACAAAGATACAGCTATCCGAAGAATCGCAAAACAATTTTTTTTATCCTTTAATTTTTTGTTTGACCAGTGTAGAAGTTTAACATTGCTACTGGTTTCTAATGTGGAAACTACCAAATAATAAGAAATCAGATTTTTTAGTCTCGGTCAAAATTTTGAATAATGAAAAATTTAATATATTCTACATTTCACTTTATTATTAATATATATTTTACTCAAAATTTCATTTTTAAAAAACAAAAAAAACGGTTTTTTCTAGGTTTTTTTCATGTTTTTTTCACATCTGAAAAAAAAACCGTTTTTTTACATCTCTAGTACAATAATGAAAATACATTGAAATTACATTACAGCCCCAATTGTAACTCACCAAGGCCCGATTGATAGAAGAAATGGAATTATGTATTTGTTAATGGGGGTAAATGTGGGTACAATGTGCCTAAGATTTCTTAAAAGCCATTCCTCCAACTAGTGTAAAGTCCGAAAGATATCGTTCGTTAGTTTGTTTATTTGTTCCTTTATTTTAAATTGGTTTTAAAATTAATGATATATATTTTTTCGGGACTGATCCCGGGACCTTTGGTCCCGAAAGTTCCGGGATTGAAAAAAGTGCTCGGGATTGACACCCCTAGCCACAATGTATTTTGTATCTCAGCAGCTCGCTCATTAGATTTCCATAATAGTATATTCTGTAACAAGTTTAGCATATTCCGCTCGAGTGTAAAGTTTGTCACACGAGCCAAAGGCAAGTTTGACGGTCAAATTTTATTTTAAAATTTTAACAGTATCTAAAAAAGTCATAGCATGAATGTTTTACTTTTTTAAATACCTTTTAAATACAGGTATTTTTCCACACCGGGTTTTTGGGGGACAATTACGCCGACTTAAAACTAAGTACTACGCGGAATCCCCCTAGACCAGTCGATTAGTATTACTCCAAACATTTGGGATTACTATTTGGAGTTGGGGAGTTGTTATTTTGCTGCAGGGGTGTAGTTTCCTAGTCGAGGTCTTTGTCTTGTTCGTTATTGTCATTGTCCGTGTCCTGGTCAGATAGTTCCTGCCCTTGGTAAAGTGTGTCAGTTGTTTTTAATAATTTTTGTCCCAAGCACGTTTTGTGGTAGAGTTCCGTCTTTCTTTATCAAATTCCAAAGCATTGCATTTATTCACTAGTCAAACAAATCACAAGCGCGATTATTCTGTTGTCTAATGTTTACAAATCTCGAGTTTGGCTATTAGGCCCTTTTTTTTAATGTGTTAGAATTATGTGATCAATGTTAGTTTACTCTGTGAGTCCAGTGTTTATTTTCGGTCTCGATTGGGACCACCTTACGCATTTGCTGTTGACAGACTTATTGCCCCACGCCCACGCCGTAGGTTTTAAAGATATCCCAATAAACACTTTAACGATACCTATCACCATTAACATTGCCCGTGTAAGAATTTTTAATACTTTTTAATACAATTTTGCAATGATAGTAATTAAAAACAAAACAATTGTTTAAAGGGTAAAATATGTTCTTAACATAATCATATTTTAAAGTTATTTTAACATTTTCAAGTAAAATAAATGTTATTTTTAATAAAATGAATACGGGCAATGTTAATGGTGACAAATAACGGAAAATGTTTGCTGGGATCTGCCGTATTTATATTGCAGATTTGTTTCAGGTCATGCATACTCTTAAAGTAAAACTTATCAGCTTTTTTTTTTCGGATGGCCACCTCCCCTCTTCTCCGACCTCCCCCGTCCGTCCAGTGAAAAGCCTCCAATGACAGGTGGCACCCAACTCATTCATATCACTCAACACTCCACTCCTCAATGACCGTTACACCATTTTAGTTTGCACTCTATGAAAATGTTTGTTTCACTTATTAGTTTGCACCTTTTTTTTTAATTATTGTTGGTTTCATCTTTAAACTTTTACGTTTCAAGAGCTTTCCCGCACGCGACGTGTCTTCTCGAGCGCTGGAACCGAATTGTCCATCCTTGGTTTAGCTGTATCAGTTCAAAATTCAAAAATATTGAAAACACCCTGTATAAATTTAAACAACCTGTATACATTAAAAAAAATTGGCTGGACCCACACATCAGTTCCAAATTTAAAAAAAAACAAATTCTTGCAAAATTTGAAGGTAATTGATCAAAAGGAACACTTCCCTGGGGGTTTTTTATAAATAATTTAGGAAATTCAAAATGTTTTTTTGCTATTTTTTTTATTGAGTATAATTGAGGATATTATATTAATTAAAATAAAAAGCATAAGAATGTTGACACAAGAGGTGAAATATATTATTTTACAAATTATAATATACCAGTATACAGTATGTCCCCGGATCGGATTTCCGATAGGAAAACTTTTTTAGACCTGATACAGCTAAATCGAGCACAGATTTGGAATCTACGACCAAAATAGTTATTTATGTCATTAGGTTAAGAAGTAAGGCTTTTTGTGCTAAGCTCAAGGTTTGAAGGCCGACGCGTAGCGGAGGCCTACAATTGAGCGAAGCACAAAAAGGCATTTCTTGGCCGAATGGCATAGGTACAACATTTTATCTTCAAAACACTTTATATAGGTCAATTTAATTCAACATCAAAGCGGCCTAACTTCACTTTTTTAGAATCTCATTTGTTTATTAGCTAAAGATTACATTAAATGTTCAATAATTATTATTGCTTTTAGAAGCAGTAATAGTTTGACAATACAGCTACATGATTTAAGTAGAAATGGATGTCTGCTATTACATTAAATTCAATTAATTGTTTAATAAATAGGTAGGTATCTAATTTCAATTTGTTTGGATTTTTATTTAAAAAATAGGTAGTTTAGAATGTTTAAGCTGTTTTTAATATTTAATTTTATTCAAAACTTTAAGCAAATTAAAACTTAAAGATAATTTAAATCGTAGAAAAAGAATCGTGCGTTTTCTGGGTTGCCTAACAGTAAAACAAACAAATTAGTGCTTATTATAAATAAATTAAACCAGTTTAGTACGTTCTTCTTCTTCTTCTTCCTTGTTACCATGGACTCGCTTCGTGAGACGGCCGCCCAAAAAAAAAGTGCTCAATAAAAGGTGTGCCTTTTGACACGTCTGGATTATTCCATGCCTTTTATAGTGGTGCTCATTTTAACGTCAAATGATTTCAGCATCCATCCATCATTGGACTACAATTGTCGGACAAAACACGTGCACACATATAGGTTATCTAACCTTGAAATTTATATGTTCATATAAATTCCTCTATTCCTTTAAAAAAGGACAAAACGAGGAATATTATCTAGGACTGGAATCCGATTTTGTCCTCCCTGAGTCAAAGTCAACTATATTTCACACTTTTTCATGGAGCTAAGCACGACCCTGGTAGAAAATAACGTTTGCATACATTCAGACAACGTTGCAAATTTGTATAATAATTTGTTATACTCATAACGTTGTCTTAGTGTATCATTTTAAGTGGAAAATACGTAGTTAAAACGTTGTCTTGGAAACGTTATTTTAATGTATGATTTTAAGTGGGAAATACGTAGTTAAAACGTTGTCTTGGAAACGTTGCAGAATTGTATTGCTGGAAACGTTGCAGCAACGTTCCAAATCCCACGTTTAGATACATAAAATTATTTCTAAGTCCCGACGAAAATTTTTCAATGAGGATTTTTTTTTTTTAATTTTTATACTTTATTATACATTATTTATAAAAGTAAAATAAAACTCTTCAATTCATTTTCAAAGTCCTAATATCAAAAATATGAGCGAAATACACAAAACCCACTTTCAAACAACGTTGCAGAATTGTATTGCTGGAAACGTTGCAACAACGTTCCAAAACCCACGTTTGGCTACATAAAATTTTTTCAAAGTCCCGACGAAAATTTTTTTACTGAGGATTTTTTTTTCAATTTTTTTTTATTATACATTACTTATAAAAGTAAAATAAAACCCTTCAACACATTTTCAAAGTCATAATATCAAAAATATGAGCG